CTCACATCCCCCGCGGAGGCCTCTCCGGCGAGCCGGGAGGGAGAACTTAAAGAGAAACGGAGACATGATGGGGGCAAATCTTTTTCACCCCAGAGGATTACGCAAGCTAAGGGAATGGCCTGTGAGAGAGGCTGAGCGTCTCAGTGCAGCCCTTTCCAAGCCAGTTTTCCCTATCCTTTGTGGACTAACAACAGCAGCTCGTTTTTTCCAGGGGTAGGCTGGTTTTCCCCAGGATATTTCTATGTCCCTGTGGAAAGCACACTGATGGCTTCGCAGGACCAGAAGTGGAAAGTCGTGGCCAGCACACAAGCGTGTGCCGTGCCAGGGTCTGTGGCCTGTTTCTGAGCCACTGGGAATGTGCGTTTCCAGGACTGCTCTTTTCCAAGTGCAGTTCAATACTTCACTCTCAACCGTTCAAGATTTTACTAAACTAACATATTTCATGGAAAATTCAGCGATTAGTATTGAAGGTCTCAGTGCTGATTAGTGTGGGGATGACATTGTAGTCAAATTGGTCTGAAACAAAAATTATTATTCATTCAAGGATATCTCAGTTTTTCTACACATAAGCAACATTTCAGTCACAAGAAAGACCAGAAGTCACAGCAGCACAGTTAGTTCTTTTGATTTTGTTCAGAATTTTGATACTGACATCTTCCAATCTTCCATGAAAATGGAGACCAAAATGTTTTTACAAACACTAGGGTTATTGAAATAATTTAACTTAAAAAAACAAGAGCGTTAAATATGGGCATCAACAGTGTATTGCTAGTGCTATGTAACTGCATGCATTATGTCATGTCTTATTCTAGAAAACTCAAGGAAATCCATCGCTTCCAAATGATTCACTCCTCCAACCTGGCAGCCAGTTTCAAGTGAGTAGTACAGAAGAGTAGCACATCCTACACATTCCCTGCAAACTTTTAAAAGTCAACTTCAGGAATCCGGGATGGGCAATGCTCTGCCACAGCCAAACTATATACAGATATTGCCTTGTGCAGAAGCCTACTTGGCTATGTAACTGTATAAACTTGTTTGATATTTTCATTATTTTATTGCCGCTAAGAACTCTCACCCAAATTAAATAGTTTCAGAGAGTTGCTTTCCAAGCACATGTGAAGATTAGAAGCTCCTTAAGGTTCCATTTATGGGCTATTAATTATTATTATTATTTATGTAATTCTCTTCTGTGCTAAGTACTTGTGACTCCATGTGCTTAAGGAGCTTACTGGAGGGATTCCAAAGCAAGGATGTTGCAAAGGAGAAGAGGGCAGAAGAAGTCTGCTGCTTTTTAGAGGAAAGCAGCGTGTTGTATAGGGCTCATTGAAGAAGTTGTTTATTGAAGCATATAAAAGGAGGAAAGCAAAAGAAGACAGGACAGTAGAAGGGTTTCAGCTCTGTGCAAAGACAGTAGAAATGAGAAGGTAAATTCACACTGGTGATTTACAAGATGCCAGCACTTCTTTGAATCACCGTAGCTTTTAATATATAGCAACCACAGATTTGAAATTAGCCCTTTTCCCTCCTAAATTGCCTAATGTCAGCAAACTGAACAGGGATCTCTCCAAAATAGCTGTAAGAAATACTAAGGAGAGAGCCACAAGTTAACCCCAAGGGGCTAAGGGGCTTAGGCTCAGATTCTTAAAGGTAATTAGGTACCTTTAAATACAAGTTAGACATATAAATCTTTGAGGCTCAGGATCTTACTTAACTAACTCTGGACTGGAGGAAGTCTCCTTAATGGATTCACAGCCACGAACCCTTTCCTGGATTTGAATCTTATTTTGTCTTGCAGAAACTGAACAGGGCATAGTTTTATGATGACAACTAGGCCAGCATGGTGGGGACAAATACCCTCCAGGAAACAAGAGATATAAATGTAGGGCGGTTAGGAAATGTATAATCACTGGTCTGTTATGGGGATAAAATACTCCATGGCTTTTGGTCAGCAATAAGATTTTCTTAGTATAAGAAAGCCAGTAAGAGTACGGAGAAAAAGCCCTAATTTATGGTGGCATGGAGCAGAATCTCAGAATTCTCAGATTTTAGAATTCTTTATTTTACATTAAAGATATATAAAAATATAAGCTATGTATAAAAATATAAGATATATGTATATAATATTAAATATTATTTATATTAAAGAATTCTTTATTTTGATGAAAATCACTCATTTCACAGTTATATTCCTATATTCTAGGAACATAACAAACTTGCTTTTATTCATCTCAAGCATAAAGAGCCTTGAAATTGCAGTAACAATAATTTACACTACACACAGGAATCTTATAGTATTTATAATTAATTCCTTGAAGTATTTGTATGTGTTCTTTGGTTTGGGCCGCTGGCATATATTGCATTCCACACACAGGTCTTAAGGGATTCAAAAGGATTCTGAGAGCTACCTTATTAGAAACACAGTCATATATTTGCTTCTGTATAATGTTCAGCTTTTAATGAGTTACCTTCTCTCTTTGTCTTTCTCTTTTGTCCCTACTGCCTACTGTCATAAGCCTACAGTTTTTCTCTTTAGGAGTCTCAGCATTCATTGTTTTGACATTATTTGTGGTGTAATACTCAGTATTTATGAACCCTTTCCTGCTGTAATGTTATGAGGTAAATAAAAAAGAGCTAAATTTAAAAGCATCAAAGCTCATATTTGTACCATGTGAGAAATTCATAGTAATTGAAAGGTTTCTGTGATTTAAATCCAATGGAAATAGTTTTCTTTCAAGTTCCCTGAAGCATTTACAGCCCAAACATTAGTGTTGCAACATTAAATGACATACCTGCTAGAAACAGAATGTGAAAATATTTGTTTCCTTTCAGTAGCTGATGGAGCAAGTCTGGAAAATTGATTTCATTTTTTGTATTTCCATTTTTAATAACCTGGAATACAGCAAACTGAACAAGTCACCTCCTGAATAATGATGCATTGAACTAATTCACTCCTTTTTCCACAAGAAAAAAAGATGTCTGAAGGAGTCTGAAGCACACTTGTCTTTCTTGCTGAGCTTCCTGTGCAACATCTCCTCCCGACGGACTGCAGCCCTTTGCAGCTCCTTTCCTGATCTCCACACAGCTACACAGCTCACCTCCTCCTGCCCCTTCTCGCAGCTTCTTTCTGTCTTACAAGCCTTAGTAACCTGCACACTGGTTAGAGTAGAGCTGTGTATTTGTCCTCATGCTCTGCACCAGGGGACAGCATAGCAACCCTGTCAGTGACTAAGGATCACATCAAGGCCAGGCCACAGCAGCTGAAGAATTGTGAAGGATCACAACAGGAGCACAGACCTGTCACATCTTGAGTGCTGTATAGCACAGTCATAAACACTCCCACACCCGTAGTTGTGCAGGGAGTGTTCACTGTGGTGAATCTTATGTACTATTGGGGCTGCTGGAATGAAGCAAAGCAATTCAAGGGCTGCTGAAACAGATTCAGTTCTTGATGTGTGCTGATCCCCTAGAACCCAAGCAGAAAAAGAGCTGCCTTGGTACATGAAACCACTTTTGCATCCCATCCCCCCATCTGTGCCTTTGAGAGATGATGCAGCTCAGAATTTGGTGTCTTGTTATCCAAGCAGATCTGGTATAAATCTAAAAGGTTTTCATGGCAGGAAGTGGTAGGTGGAGATATCCTAAGGGCTGGAGCAAGGCTAAGACACAGCTGCCAGGGAAACTCGGGGGGGTGAGTGGGTGGGAGGAGGCAAGAACATCCTGGCAAGAGAGCACCTTCCCAGGGATGAACACAGCTGAGAGAAAGTTATTGAGAGTGTAATGGTGCAGCAGGGGTGGGCTTCATCCAGCGCTCACTTTAAGACCAGATGTGGAATACAGCTTGCTCCATTGTGTCCTAGAGAAGTGAAACAGGAGAAGTGTCAATCTCCTCTCCTACCTCTCCACCTTTCTCCTCTCTCTAAGTAGAAGAGGAGACCTTATGGAATGAGGGTATTATTTCCTTAAAGTAAAAACCAACCTTTTCACTCCTTCCAATATTCCTTTCACATTGTTAATTGATTGTGCTGTTGTTACCAGCAAAAAAAGTCTGAGGAAGTCTCTGCTGGAGCCAAAAAATGTTCTGAACTGAGACCTAGACCTCAAATTTAGAAATGGAAAGTGAGCATTAGATGACATGCATGGAAATTCCAGCTGTGTTGCCTTCTTTATTGGGCCTAAGTCTATTTGTTCTTGAAGGCAACTCTGAGGAAGCATCACTAGGAGAGTGCTGGCATTTTCCAAGGACTGAGTGGGCTGGAGTACCTAGAAGCCACTGCTGTCTATGAGAGTATCAGGAGGATGTTTAAGATGTAGGCTGGTCAGAGGCCATGCTCCCACTAAATCTGATTGCTTACCAACTTCTCCAAGGGAAAAGGGAAAAAAAACCCTAATAATTTGGTCCTGATTTTATTGGGAGATCTTGCAACAGTAATTGAGAGGTCTGCCTGTGGGCTAAAACAGCTCTTAGAAAGTTGCAAGTAAGAACTTGATACAAAGCCCTTCTAAAGGAGACAAATCCTAACTCCAGGTGGCAACTGTAGACTTGCACATTGTCAGCTGTGTCCAGGTGCTCACAAACAGGCATTACAACATAGAGGTAGAGGTGTCTTTGCTGGAACTGGAGTGCAAGGGAGTATCAGCTATGGGCTCTAAGGCAGTTTTTCACATTCATGTGAGTGTAACAATCTTTGACCTTGGTTTTAAGGTTCATAAAGCCTGTTACTCTGCAAAAGGCTAATAGAGCAAAAGCAGATTAGACTTTCCTAAATGAGTTGTACACATCTGAGTTGGGTTCCTTTGTTCTGGGAGCAGTAGCAAATATTTGTCATGTGAACATATTCACTACAAACTTCAGACAGTTTGTATTTTTTAAAAAAAAGTGCTTTTCAGCTTATTGCTGCAGGGAAACGGGTTCTCCCAAATCAATTGGCACAGACAATACAAAGAAGCTAGAGAAACAAGTCTGCCTACTGGGACTTGAGACTTTTTCTCTATATCCTTTTGCACAAACAAAACTGAAAGTGCAGGTCCTTCAAAATGCTGAAGTGAATGTGTTCATCTAGGAAAGTATAGTTACATCTGTTTTAGGGGAAAAATGATTCATTTGACTTACAGTAGGAAAAGCGGATGATTTCCTTTGTTTAAGACTCGGTGGGGAATTCCTTATTTGGAAAATAATTTCCCCATGTTTGGGAGAATCTGTTTGCTGTTTCCTAAGGATGTGTTTTTTAACTGTGAGAACAACCTAGATTTAAAAAGCAGAGGACTTTCTTCCTGCTAGGAATGTGGGCTACCAAGCTGCTTCAGCGTCCAACTGAACAGTTGTCTTTCATCTGAATATTGAATTTAGTTATCTGTTTGGAGAATACAGATTGAATGACCATCTTGTTACTGTGTTCTCTTTGGACTGTAAACTTTAAACAGATAGTAGTTTTAACCATTTGTCTGAAACAACAGGTGGTTTGATTAGGAAAGCACAGGACACAGCAATAAACAAGAGATTATGCAGCTGGAATAAATGAAGTGTTTCCATGTAAAAGTCTGTATTTACCGTGGCTCCAAGAGTGTTTTGCATTCATTCACTAAAGCAACAGCATGGGATTTTGCAGAATGGTGTTTTTATGCATGGCAGAAAACTAGTAAATGTCAATGTGACTGGGAAAATTCCTTAGGATTTATGTTTTGAGTTAATACTTAATCAGACTTTGCAAAAGTCAACCAGTCTGATGGAGTGGTGAGATATGAGTCAGACACAAAATCCCTATTATAACATCAGTAATAACATTATAGCACCATAACTAGTACCTTTGTTTTCAAAGTATGCTGTAAAATGCGCTCTGAGTTGAAATATAGTGTATGTAATTAGATTTTCCTGTAAAACTTGTTTCTGGAGGGCTAATATTCCTAACTACTATGGGTCAAAAAAAAAAAAAGTAAAAATAAAAAGAAAGCAGTTCAGAGGAAAACTATAGAAAGCACATCAGAGCTCCACATAGAAGGGAAAAAAACTAAGTTTGCAATCTTCATGGTCTAATTAACTTGTAGATACTTCTGACTTCTCCATTTCTGCAATGTCAGAGTACAGCTGCATCTTACTGCTCAGCAAAAAATTGCTGGGATCAAATATAAAACAACTGTTTGAGTTCATCAGAATTGCATTGAATATTTGCCTGTTACTGCTTTGATCACTATATTTTCTCCTTGTGTGGCTGTGGCATTCCTTGGAGGGGATCTACATGCCCAAGAGCCAGATGTTTGGACCTGGGCAGATGCTACAGGTTGCAAGATTAGAAGGAAGTCATACAGGTAAGTAGATAAGTGCAGGGTTTCTCTTTCTTGTACAACAGTCTTAGTCCGATTTCTCCTCCAGACCTAAAGAGCTTGTGGGACAGAAGAGAAGTTACAGGTCTTCATCCTATTCTGGAACCATTTTACCTGCTGAAAGGTAGCCATAGGCCTTGTTTTCATGTTCTGTGTGTGGTCAGTAGCTGCCTCTAAGAAAGACACAGTATGGAGACAGCACATTCTGCATCCAGGAAGATTGTCCTTGCAAAATGAAGAGTTATTCCTGAAACAGCTAGCGGTCGTGCTGTACTGTCAGTCCCCCCTGAGGACTGAAGGGGAAATTAGTCATCTACTGTGGAGCAATAGGAACAAAAAAGATGATAAACAAAAGCAAAGTCACATTATTTTGTTTTGTTTTGTTTTTATTTCTAAACCTGTACTTTCTTCTGGTAAGAGAATCAGAAGCCAAGGATTTTAAAGGGAAGAGAGATATAAAATCATCCTGTTTAATATCTTTACTGATGATCTGGAGGAGGGGATTGAATGCAATCCCCTTAGTAAGTTGGCGGAGAACTCCGAGTTGGTTGGGAGTGTTGATCTGCTGGAGGGCAGGAAAGCTCCGTGCAGGGATATGGACAGGCTGGATCAATGGGCTGAGCCCACCTGTACAAGGTTCAACAAGGCCAAGTGCTGGGTCCTGCACTTGGGTCATGACAACCTCAGGCAATGCTACAGGCTTGGGAAAGAGTGGCTGGGAAGCAGCCCAGTGGAAAAGGACCTGGGGGTGCTTATTGTGAGCCAAACAGAACATGAATCACTGTGTGCCTTGGTGGCCAAGAGGGCAAAGGGCATCGTGGCTTGTGTCAGCAAAGGTGTGGCCATCAGGATCAGGGCAAGGACCATCCCCCTGTACTCAGCACTGGTGAGGCCGCACTGAGCTGTGTCCAGTTTTGGGCCTCTCACTATGGGATGATACACTGAAATGCTGGAGCATTTCCAGAGAAGGGCAACGGAGCCATGGAAGGGCTTGGAACACAAGCCCTGTGAGGATTGATCAGCTGAGGAAACAGGGATTGTTTAGCCTGGAGAAAAGGAGGCTCTAGGGAGACCTTATTACTCTCTACAACTACCTGAAAGGAGGATGTAGCCAGTTAGGGGTTGATCCCTTCTCTGAGAAAACCAGCAACAGGACAAGAGAGCATAATCTCAGTCATAACCAGAGAGGTTCAGGTTGGCCTGGAGCTGGTTCGGGTTGGCGGAATTCCTTCACTGATAGAGTGGTTTAAGCACTGGATCAGGCAGTCCAGGGAAGTGGTAGAGTTACCATCCCTGGAAATGTCCAAAAAATGACTGGCACTTAGTGCCATGGTTTAGTTGGCATGGTGGTGTTTGGTGAAACTTTGGACTCAATTAACTTGGAGGAGCTCTCCAAACTAAATTATTCCATGATTTATGATAATTGTAGGTGACCTTGTCTCTTTTCTGCTCTCCTCTTCAGTGGAGTATTTCAACTTCTTTCTTCCTTTCTGCACATCAGATCAAGTAAACCAAAGAGTGTACTGCTGCAGAGAAATGTGAAAAATATGCTACAGCCTCACATTACCTGAAGCCCACAGGCTCCTCTCATCACTTGGCAGCCAGGCAGAGCAGGGCTGTACCCACCCATGCTAGGGGCACAGTTTTGCCTTTAGAACTCTATAGTTAAAATATAAATATGTTTCCTAGATTCCTCCTTATGATAGCATGAAGATACCTGAAACTTTGCAGTATCTAACTGATACTGGAGTATTCTGCTGCTTACACTTGGCAAGCCCCTTCATTACTAGTTCTTCCAATATTTCATACTTTCACAGAGATTTGGCCTTCTAATCACTTTTGTGTTTCTGCTAGTTTGTCATTAAAGCTATTATTTTCCTTTTGAAGAAATTGCATTAACTAGTTCAGTGCAAAGATGTCTCAATGTAAATCAGTCTCCTTGTTTTTGAGTTTGCAGTTTTGGCAGTATTGGTGATTTTCGAAGAGATCAGAGACTTTCAAGTCTTTAATATACAACTGTTAATTAGATTCTGCTGCAATTAAATCTAAATAAAGACTTTTAAAAGTTATTTAGCTCTGTTATGGACTGTTCAGGAATCAAATGAATGTGCTGTGTTCTTATACCCAAAAAGCACAGGTCATGAAGATTCAGAAAAACCTCTAGGACTGTTGTTTCAAGAAAGAAATGTACAGTTGCTCTGTTCATAGAGTCCTGTTCAAATCAATGTGGGCCTGAGCAGACAGTACTTCTCACAAAATAAGGGCTGTATTAGGTTTGTGTGGCAAGTTTTTTGTTGCAGGGGTGGCTTCTATGAGAAGATGCCAGAAGCTTCCCCTTGTCCAGTTGAGCCGATGCCAGCTGGCTCCAATGGGAACCCACCACTGGCCAAGGCTGAGCCCATCAGCAATGATGGTAGCACTTCTGGGGTAGTGTATTTTGGAAAGAGAAAAAATCCCAAAACATCAAGTTTGGCTGGGAGAGAGGAGTGAGACTATGTGAGATAAGCATCTTTGCAGACACTGAAGTCACTGCAGAACAAGGCACAGGAGATGCTTCTGGCACTGGAGCTGGGATTCTTTTGGAACCCATGGTGAAGCAGCTGTGCCCCTGCAGCCTGTGAAGGACCATGGGGATACAGAGATCCACCTGCAGCCACTGGAAGAGACCCAAGCCAGAGCAGGAGGCTGTGACCCCATGGGAAGCCTGCACTGGAGCAGGCTCCTGGCAGGACCTGTGGCCCCATGGAAAGAGGAGCCCATGCTGGAGCAGCTCACGAAGAACAGCAGTCCATGGGAAGGACCCATACTGAAGAAGCTGGTGGAGGACTGTACCCCATGGGAGGGCAGGAGGCAAATGAGAGGAGTCTTTTCCCTGAGGAGTAAGAGGCAGAGACAATGTTTGATGGACTGACCTCAACCCCAATTCCCATCCCTTTGTACTGCTAGGAGAGAGGAGGGAGAGGAAATCGGGAGTAAAGTTAAGCCCAGGAAGTGGGGTGTGAGTGTGTGGCAGCAGTTTAAGGTGTGTTAAGATTTAGTTTTTATTTCTCATTATTCTACTCTGATTTGATTGACAATAAATTAAAAAAATGTCCCCAGGGCAGGTCTGTTCTGCCCATGATGGTAACTGGTGAATGATCTTCCCCTGTCCTTCTCTCAATCCATGAGCCTTTCGTTATACTTCTTTCTTCCCTGTCCAGCTGAGGAGTGGAGTATTAGAGCAGCCTTGGTGGGCAACTGGCATCCAGCCAGGGTCAACCCACCACATTGTTTTCTGAGTTTATTGGCACTTTAGACAGAAGTAATTTTTTAGACAGTTGTAATCTGAAGTGAGAAATGTGAGGTGATGATTAAGGCTGGCTGAACTGTAAGAACAAACTTACTGTCATAACGTTCCTCAAGCCCTCCGGAAATAGCCCCCGCTCAGTTATTTTCAGAGCACATATTTGTGTTGCTATTAGGTCGACCCATTTGGTCTAAGTTAGGAGTGTTAATCTTTTGTTGGTTTGAGCCAGTCATTCTGACAGCTACTTAACAGTTTGCTCAGTGTTCATATGACCACCTTCTTTAGCTTAATGTACTGTCTTGATCCTGAAATGTGACAAGCCAGCACTAACCCATGGAACAAATATAAAGAAATAATATGACATTTCCTGACAAATTTTGGCAAAGTTGCTCAAACAGTTGCCATGAGTATGAAAGCATTTAGAAGATGAG